TTACTGTTCCCAGTAAAAAGGGACAATGGAAGCAGAAAATACGCAAACACCGACTCGTTTGCCCGATTTACTGCATTCCGGGGCGCGGACTACGAGGCCTCACGGGTGTCTTTGAAGGACTTACCCTGTTGCCAAAATAGTTAATAAATTATAATTTCCCCCAGAAGATTTAAAAAAAAAAAAAAAAGATTTATTGAAAGATAATAATAAAATAACGAGCTTTATCGTAACTTGAATGAATTTTACCTGATGCGTTGGGATCCAAGAACCTCACCACAACAATCGAGTGCCACTATTGCACTCTCAGCCTGCAAAAATGTGCTTCAAGAATTAACCTTTTCGACTTTTTTTTTGTAGCTCTAAGCTTTCTTTTATGTACAAGTGAATGAAATCTGTATTCGATTCGCTTCTCAATACAAGGTATTATAAGGCATGTATAAAACCCAAAGGGATAGTCACAATTTTCGAAAGCTGCCTTGGATTTTATCTGTCAATATGGTAATTGTTGAAAACATGCTATACACATATATAAGGCATATATAAAACCCAAAGGGATAGACACAATTTTCGAAAGATGCCTTGGATTTTATCTGTCAATATGGTAATTGTTGAAAACATGCTATACACACTATCTTCGAAAATCATTGCAAATTTTCTCTCTCGATCGACACCATAATAATATGAGAATGAAGTTGCAATTATACTCGGCATAAAGCAAACATACCATGTAAAATTCTACAAAAGCAATCCTTGTCGAGTGCACGTGATCCCCAAGGAGCCGCAACTGTGAGACCTACACAATTAACAATTTTGCCGCAATTATTGTACATTAGAAAGTAACAATTTGCAAAAAGAGTCAAACCTATCACAAGACTTTAATTGCATTACCTCGCCACATCTTGTTTCGAAGAAATTCTTGACATCAGCTTGAGTAACCTGCTCACAAATATCACACAAACTTGTTTTTTAAAGGTAATTACCATTTAAACTTGGTTATTAAACTAATCTTCAGAACCGTTCATTTACCGCTTGCTCATTCTCAAAACACCTTGGATATTAGGCTAAAATCGTAATCTTAATATTGAATATTAACCGTTTTGGTGCAAGTAGCCACACACACACACACACACACACAAAAAGAGAGAGAGAGAGAGAGAGAGAGAGAGAGAGAGACAGAGAAAACAACGAACGAGAGAAATAAGGAAGATGCTATTTACTACCTTCTTATCAATGTTTGTGCAGTAGACTGTCCTTGCGCACATCTCGCGCTCATCCTCTGACTGTAAAAATTCCATTGAGTAAAGTTAAAATATACGAATTTTAATTAGTTCCCATAACTTTGAGGAAAAAAAAAAGAAACATTTAACAGCTTAAGCAATGCCAAGGATTTCTTCTTACTCTAGGAAGGAAAGTTGGGTTCACAGGTAGAATGGCAGTTTTGGAAGGTAAAACTTTCACGGGGGAGAAACCCAAAAGTGTCCCATTAAGACTAAGAGCAGCTCGAGCAGAATCTGTTGCCATTAATCACATAAGGTAAGGTTTGATTTATTACCAACCAAAGAACGAATGGAAAAGAAATTAACAGAAAAAAAATGCGTACAGTCATCAGCAAATTCCACAAAAGCAAAGCGAAGATGAGAGTGTGGATCCCCACAAACTCGACAGTCAACAACCTGAAAAAGAAAATAGACGAGAAATAAAATGAAATATTTATCAACGTCACATAAAATATCTAATGAAAGTACATTGAAGTTTAGGAATAACATTAATAAATGATTACAAGAAACCCTAAGGAATAGCCAAATTACAACGAACTTTAGTTATATTACAGATGCCCCAAATCAATTTTATTTCCATTCTTAGCCTCTAAAGACTCGGAGACAATCAAGTTAAAGATATTGCACAATATATTTGTGAAAGATGATGTAAAATCCAATTACTTACCAGTCCATAGCCACTGAATAATGCAGCTAGCTGCTCCTCAGTGATCTAGTTATAAAACATAAAAAAGAGAAAAAGTGGACTTAAATTCATGAATATGATGATAATATGGTCAAATTTTTCCAGTAGCTTGCTTACATTGTGATCAATGTCAGATACATAGACAGTTCGTCTAACACTATCTTCTCTTTGAGCTCTAGAAGCTCTGCCACTCATTCTTTTCTTGCCCTGGTTGAAGTTACTCCTTCTCTGCAGAGAACACGAAAAAAGAACAATATACGGTGTAACACTCCATTAAAAAGCCTTTAAAACATATTTGAATTCATACAACATTGCCAAGTAGAAATTTTGGCGATTGTTTGACTAATGAATCGGATTGCTAATTAAGATACTCAAAAAGAGGAAATTACATAATTGCTGATCCTTGTTTAGATGACACTGAAATTCACAGAGTGCATTTATATGCAGCATCGGACAAATGAACTAGTAACCCACATATAAGTAAAACAGTGTAACAAAATGACATCTTTTCTTCTCCAAAATATTTTTTTCCCTCAAGCCCAAACAGAGAAGAATTATTCAAATTCTTGTAATTGACTCGCAAACAATGTAGTATCATCAAAGAGCAAATTGAGCGTAAAAACAAAGTAACAAATTAACATCATGTACAACAAAATGCGCCCCCTCAATTTATTTACTAAAAAACGGCATAAAGTTTTCGTTCTACTGCTTATTTCACAAATAACTCGTGGAATTTACGATTAATTCTCAAAAACATCCAGCAGTAAAGCAATATTCAACACAAGAACACCAATAACAAGAACCAATCCAATATTTTTCAAGCTTCCAAAAATACATGAGCTGCATACAATCAACTCGACTGACCAAATCAACCAATTTGGAAAAAAACACAATTTTATGATACCCTTCGATTGTTCGGCATCCCATCAATTCCAAAATTCTTATCATTAGGCACAAGATTGTTAGCCCCCATTTGGCCCTGATGATAGGAGGAAGGGAAAAACTCCTTGGCCATGGGGTTCAACTTGAGCTTCTTCAGCATATCAACAATTTCCTTCATTTGCATTCCAGATTTCGGGTTCTGATCAGAGCCCTTATGACCATCATCAGCCACATCATTTTCCCTAGGCTCAACACAATCTGGATTATCAATTTTCCCTTCAATAATGGTCTTAGCAACAACAACGGCCTCACCAGAAACCTCTGCACCAGCAGCCATTGGATCAAATCAAATACAAGAAAAAAAGGCACTGACACCTTCACGGCAGATAACGACACTCGGAGCAATAGAAACAATAAAGCTCAAATCTTTTCTTCTATAAAAGTACAGAGATCAGTGAAGAAGGGGTTTTCCCTTCTCTATCTCAGATTTGTGTGATCACTGTATGCAAACCTAGCTAGATTCTCTCAGTGTAGGCTTAACCATAGAAATTAACAACAGGGCTACATCTAAAAACCCATAGAAATCGTAGAAAAGTGAAGGATGATAGTGATGAATGATGATAAAGATGCAATTTTTCTTGAAGGGTTTTCCTTTTTTTCTGTCTTT